AGGAAGTTCTAGTCCTATTGTAAGCACAAAAACTGTGGGTGACTGTGGGCCAATCACCAGGAGACAGTGGCTTCTAGTTCCTCTTAGGCATAAAACCCAGCTGGCCACTCACTGGGAGACAGGAAGTTCTAGTCCTATCGTAAGCACAAAAACTGTGGATGACTGTGGGCCAATCACCAGGAGACAGTGGCTTCTAGTTCCTCTTAGCCATAAAACCCAGCTGGACATTCACTGGGAGACAGGGAGTTCTAGTCCCACCATAAGCAGGAAAACTGGCTGGGTAACTTTCAGCCAATCACCAGGAGATGATGAATTCTAGTTCTGCCTTAAGCGTGAAAGCCAGGGAGAGGGCTTTAAGCCAATCACCAGGAGACAGTGGCTTCTAGTTCCTCTTAGCCATAAAACCCAGCTGGACATTCACTGGGAGACAGGGAGTTCTAGTCCCACCATAAGCAGGAAAACTGGCTGGGTAACTTTCAGCCAATCACCAGGAGATGATGAATTCTAGTTCTGCCTTAAGCGTGAAAGCCAGGGAGAGGGCTTTAAGCCAATCACCAGGAGACACTGAGTTCTAGTTCTGCTTAGGCATGAACCCCAGCTGGCCATTCTCTGGGAGACAGAGTTTTAGTCCTACTGTAAGCACAAAAACTGGCCGGGTGGCTTTGGGCCAATCACCAGGAGATGGTGAGTTCTAGTTCTCCCTTAACCATGAAAGCCATCTAAAGCAGTGGTTCTTAACATGGGCGATATCGCCCCGCAAGGGCCGATTTTGTTTTTCAGGGGGACGATGGAACGAAATGGGGGCGATGGAGTGAGAAGTTTTGGGGACACTTTTGAGACTTTTTTCGTACAGTGAACCGCTGTACATCTGTCGTACAAAAACATCAGATCACTCGCTATTAGTGGATTGAACTGTGTTTTAAAATGTTCCTCCAGCTAGTTTCAGTACAGAACACCGTACATATGTGAATACGCATCGCTCATCTTCATGCGCGTTGTGCAGCGGCCTCTATCACTCTACCCACACAGTGGCGCGCCATTGGCCAGAATGGGCAGTAATGGAGGGGCGAGCGCTTCTTTCGAAACATCGCATGCTGAGTGGCTGTCCCCTGTGATGTCCGCTGTAATGTCAACGTAACTGTTGAAACTAGGTTTATCGACGTCCACGTGTGTTTTATAGGGTTTCAGTGCAGTCGAAAATTTTAATTTGCAGTTGGTGCCTTTCATTTCGAAGATCTCTCAACATGGCCCAGAAGAGGAAGTGTCGCCAATACTCGACGGCATACCTAAAATTGGGATTCATTCCATCTCCTTCCAACGTGCAGGTTCCGTTTTGTCTTCTCTGTGAGAAAACATTTTCAAATGAAGCGATGGAGCCTTCCCGACTGAAAGGCCATTTGGTAAGAATTCATTTGGATAAAGCCGACAAACTGCTATCGTTTTTCCAATCCTTGGAAGGCCAGGTTTGAGGGTCTCAGCACTGTTGAGAAGTTATTTGGGAAATCGTCACTCAACGCCGACAAGGGGCTCATTTGTTCCTATGAAGTATTTTTGTTGATAGCAAAATGTGGCAAACCTCACACTATCGGAGAAACGCTGATTTTTAACCAGCAGTGAAACAGATTGTTGTAACCATGTTGGGGCCCAGCGCAAGCATTTTCACGCAATCGATTCCTTTGAGCAATGACACCGTATCAAAAAGAATGGATGAAATGGCTGCTGAAGTGGAAGAAAGGCTTATGGACACCTTGAAAAGTANATCTCAAGCCCTTTGGAGGACAATGTGCTGGACAAACAGGATTGGTCATTCTTTCCATACTGATAAGACAGGTGGTCCTCTATTTACAACCACAATTGAGCCCAAAATTTGTGTCGCTGAGCAAAATAGTTCTTAAGGGAGTTTGGTTCCATTTTATGACCTTTATTGCCCAAATTATTAAGTTGTGGGTGCTTCATCACTCGAGTTTTTTAAAGAGGAGACTGGACACAGAGACTTGGCTGAAATGCTATAAGATCTCCTGCTTGAGCAGGAGGTTGGACCAGATGACCTCCAAGGTCCCTTCTGACTCTGTCATTCCGTCTAACAAAAAGAGAAGCTGGGAAGACATAATAGAAGTCTCCCAATATTTGAGGTGCTGCCATAAAGAATTGGGGGGGGGGGTTGTCACCCTATTCTCCAAAGCGCCAGAAGGCAGGACAAGAAACAATGGGTGGAAACTAATCAGGGAAAGAAGCAACCTGGAACTAAGGAGAAACTTCCTAAAAGTGAGGACAATTAACCAGTGGAACTGCTTGCCACCAGGAATTGTAAGTGCTCCATCACTAGAAGTTTTCAAGAAGAGATTGGACAACTACTTGTCCAGAAAAATGTAAGGTCTCCTGTTTGAGCAGGGGGCTGGACTAGAAGACCTCCAAGGCCCCTTCCAACTCTTGTTATTCTGTTAGAGGCAGTTCTGGAGCCCAAAAGCTGAATGAACATCCCCATTCCCGAAGAAGGGAAGGCTCCATCCGGGGCTGCATTCAAGAAGAAGCAGAGTCTTACCGTCCTGGAGGTGGTGCGTTCTCTTGCCTGGTTGAGTGCCACTCCTCCATCGAACGAACCACGTTGGCTGGGCCTTCGTTGGCCAGCTCCACCTCTTGATTCCCATTCTCCTTGTCATCTAAAGGTAAGGAGACATAGAGGATATTTCTCAGGCAAGAGATCAAAGCAAAGAGATGGAACCAAGCATGGTCCTTGCCAGGACTCTTAACCTCCTGGGGAAGAACGGAATTATACTTTGGAAGAGACCTACGTGAACATTTGGGGAGACCTTTCGTAGCCTGCTCTCCTCACACCAAAGAGGAGATATCAGCATCTCGAGATGGTGGCCTCAAGAGAGGACGAGACAGAAGCCCTTCTGAACTCTTCATGTGGGAGACCCGGCATTTTAAGGTCCAAGAGACACCCCCCCAGAGGCCAAGTGCCCACAATTTGCCGTACCCAAGTTAAAACGGCTTACGGGGAACTCTGGGACACGGCCCGGAGAAGGGGATGGTGCCTCAGCTCCCAAGGGATGCCTTGAGAGCCCATTAATGATGTTGGTGGGATTAAGAACACCAACAAAGGCTGGGTGGGCCCTGCAGGTGGTCCTCTTTCAGCCCTGAAAGCTGATTGGTTGGGTCTCAAGGAAGCATCTCACCTGATTTCATCATGGGCGAGACCACAGCCCAGGGAAGGTTAGGCTTTGATGACAATGCTTTACGCAGGATGCCCGACGTCCCCATCTCTGCTCTTGGGGTCATCAAGGCGGCAGATCGGACAGCTGCAAAAATAGTTACGATCCTAGGGTCCTCCACTCCACGAGGCGAGGAGACCACCAGCCACCAACCATCAAGCACCTCTCTGGCCCAGTCTAAAGAGCCGGTTTGATTTAGCAGTTAAGGCATCAAACTACAGACTGGGAGACGGGGAGTTCTAGTCCTATCGTAAGAACGAAAACTGGCTGGGTGACTTTGGGCCAATCACCAGGTGACGGTGAGTTTTAATTCTCCTTAGGCATAAAACCCAGCTGGCCACTCACTGGGAGACAGGAAGTTCTAGTCCTATCGTAAGAACGAAAACTGGCTGGGTGACTTTGGGCCAATCACCAGGTGACGGTGAGTTTTAATTCTCCTTAGGCATAAAACCC